CTGCCCCCCTGTCTGCTTTCTGCCTATGAATTGGGCACCTCTGGGGACCTCACTGGTCAGACACTATTTGTCTTTCTGCGTCTGGCTCTTTCCCTCAGCATAATGTCCCCCAGGTTCATCCACGTGTAGCAGGGCAAGATTTCCTTCTAAGCCGCGTGACGTTCGGCACGTGTGTCCCATTCCATGCTAGGCTTTGATGTCACAGACCCAGATCCATCCGGATGTGTCGTCAGAGCCACCATTTCTACCCCACCCTCCCAGCCCGACTGGTGGGACCCGGGAACAGGGGCCCACGGCTCTGTGTGGTTTTCCGCGTTAGGCGGACCAGATCTGCTCCCGCGCTGGGTGGGGGTGAGCCGGGGAGTGGTTGTGCCTGCTGTGACCCCGTCTCTACAGGGTGGGTTGCTAGAGCCGTAGGACGAGATACCTCTGTCCTCACAGCTGTAGGTAGGTCCGTCCTTGGCCGCTGGCTGCCAGTGAATCCGGGGGGACCAGGAGGGGAACGCGCTGCCTGAAACACCCCGGTTCCGAATTTATTCACAATCTCCAGGGCCCGCCTCCGGAGGGCCACCTGCAGACTCTGGTGACCGAGGTGTTCTCTTTCGCCAGCCCGTGTTCGAATCTCTGTCCCTCCCTGAATGGCGCTCGGGGCTTCGGTCACACGTGCGCTTCGTCTGTGTGTTCTGCCACCCTGGGGGTCAACGTGAAGAATCACTTCTGCTGCAATGCCAGATCAGAGCCTTCCAGAAGCTCCCACAGCGCCTTGTCCTCCTAGGTTTTCTGTACACAGTGGATGGTTTTGCTAGAATACTGTTGTTCTTGCACAAGAAGCCGAGTACAGGGCGTGCAGTAAACCTCACGGATGTGTGTGCTGTGCTCTTTCTTTTGTCCAGGGGAAATGGAGGTTCCGGACCCGAATGACCCTCTGGGAGAGCTGGATGGACAGGACGGCCCTATTCCAACTCTGAAAGGTAAAAGAGTGAGGAGTTCTTGGAAGCAGGTGTTCAGAAGCGTTCTCGGGGGCCCGCGTGGAGAGGCGTGGGGTGCCTTCTGTACCCGGGGCGTGGCTGCTGGGATGGGTGGCGGGTGCCCGTGGCCCGGCGCTGCCCCATTGGTGGGTGTGGCGATGTGCCTGCCTCGGCAGCCATGGGGGCATCGAGGGCTGGTCCGAGCCGGTCGGAAGGTGGCGGCTGGCAGGTGGCGGGCAGATGGTCGCGGGATGGGGGGAAGGGGCCTTGTGGGGAGCCCCGTGGGGCTGAGCAGACCCTTAGGAGCTGCACTCTTGGCTGGGCCGCCGTCACCTGCTGACGGGTGGTGGTCTCCTGGGGTCCTCCCTGAAATCGTCCGGAGCCGGTGGGCGTCCCGCCTGAGCGGGTGGCTCACGGAGGAGCGGGTGGTCTGTCTCGTGCCTCAGCCTCCCCCCCAGGTCACCGTCTGGCTCGCTGCTCCCGCGGTGCACTCTGCAGGCATCTTGGGTTCGTAGCGTGAGTGGATGGGACACGTTTCTTCCGACACAGCCCGATTCCTCGGGGAGGTGGCCGCCCTCCCGCTCAGCCCTTTGTCACCCTGTCGCCTTGATCGCCGTCCCAGCCCAGCCGCTGTAAGGAAGCACCACGTGCGGGCGGCGTCATCCTCAGGAATGCACTCCCCAGCGTCCTGGCGGCTGGGGGGCGAGGGTGAGAGCGCCAGCAGGTCAGTTTGGGTGAGGCCTCTCTTCCTGGCTTGCGGATGGCACCCTCTCTCTGGCCTCACGTGGCGGAGAGAGCACTCCGGCTCCTCTTCCCTTAGGGCACCGACCCCCTCGTGGGGACCCCTCGAGACCTCATCTAACCTAACCCCTCCCGAAGGCCCACCTTCAAACGCCATCGCGCTGGGCACCGGCTTCGACGTGTGCGTTTCAGGGGAGACGCAATTCAGTGCCCGACGATTGCCTGTTAAAGCGACCACTCTGGGCGCCCGGGTGGCTCAGTCTGCTGAGCGTCTGGCTTTCGGTTTTTGGCTCAGGTCACGATCTCCAGGTGGGTGGGATTGAGCTCCGCGTCGGGCTCTGTGCTGACGGCACACAGCCTGCTTGGGGTTCCCTCTCTCTCTCTCTCTCTCTGCCCCTCCCCTGCTCACACGGGCTCTCTCTCTCCCATAAAATAAAATGAGTAAACTTTAAAAAAAAATGGGAATGCTAAAAAAAAAAATCCGCTCTACTTCTGCCTGATTTCTTCCTAATTATTCAAAGACCAGGAATCCATAATCATTTCTTAGCCCGCTGTAGGTTGAGGGTCCCGCGTCCCCTCAGGAAGGTCGCCCCTCCGTGTGTCCGCAGCTGGGTCTCCTGGGCATTGAGCAGCTAGGACCCAAGTCTGCTGGCCTCAGTCGAAGGGCCGGCTTGTCCCTGCAGGTCCCGAGAGATTTCCCGGGGTCCTACGGGGGTGCTGAGCTCCCTCCGCGTCCCAGAACGCTCACCAGTGTGTGCTGTTTGCTTAGAGGCCAGTCATTTCAGTCAAGGGCGTGTGGAGCCGTGATTGCCCTTGGTGGGGCCTGGTGTGTGGACCTCGATGGGACCTCACAGGGACACGGGCTGCTTGCAGGGGTCAGACCTCCAGCAGGATAGGGATGTGTCCCCAGGGGGCAAGGCCTGTGCTCTGGATGCTGGGCCTGGTGAAACATTTCTCAGAAGGCTGACTTAGCCCGCAGTCCGGATGGTCCACACACATTCCCTGACCGTCTCTTTGTGCCCCTGCTGTGTGAGGCCCAGGTACATGCTGGTGACCCAAACAGCACGACACCATCCCGTGTGGTCTCTGTTTCATGACGTTTCCCCGTACTGGGGAGTCAGAATCCTGAATGCTCGACAGAGTAGCTGGAAGGAAGAGACAGGGCTGTGTTGATCTGGAAGGAAGGGAAGGGCGTCTTGGCATAGGACGAGATGTTACACTGAGATCTGAAGAGCTGACAAAGACGGGGGAGTCCTGAGGCATGGCAGTGCCTGTGCAAAGGCCCTGAGGCAGCTGAGAGAAAAGGTTGGGTAGCTGAGGTCAGAAGGGTCAGGGGACTAAACCAACATGACCTAGTTCCAAGGCCATCAAGCCATGCGTGGGTCTTCAAATTTAAATCAATTAAAATTAAGTAAAATCAAGAGTCCAGTTCCTTAGTTCTCAGAGCTACATTTTAGGTGGTCAGTGGCCATATGTGCTAAAGGCCACCACGGTGGACAGCACAGATCTAGAACATTCCATCACCACGGAAAGTTATATTGGGCAGCCCTGGGTAGAACATACACAGCTTTTTAGGTGGCAGGGGAATGTTCTGCTTTATTCTGAGCGCCGTCTTCCACTGTGCAAGGTTCTGGCCTGGGACACGGTGTAGCCTGATGGCTGTGCAAAGATTGCCTTGGTAGTCTGGAGGGTGATGGGGGGGAAATGGGAGGGGCGGTGGGAGGGAGGTGAGGGGCAGAGAAGAGAGAGGTGAGGGGGCGGTGGGCGGGAGGTGGGGCTGGCCGAGTCGAACTCTAACCTGCACTCCCCTCGTAGACTCCAGACTCCCCAGGGGGCAACGTGTTTACAGCAGACCTGTCCCCCAGGTGCAGGGTGCGGGCTCTCCAGGGGCCAGAAGGGCCTGTCACAGCTGCAAGATGAAAGGTCCTTCGGGCCCGCCTGGATGCAAGACGCATTTGCTGACCAAGGCTCGGAAGCGACCGTAGGCTGAACGGTCACAGAAACTTTTATTTGCATCCAGCCACAAGCTCCAAACATGGATAAGTCAGATCCCGTGCCTCGGGTGGGATTCCAGGCCCTCCTTCTTGGTCTGGGAGCAATTTCTCAAGCCCACAGCCGCATGCTTTGTAAGGCCCTCTGCTTGGTTGGGATTCGACTGCCTCCTGACTGCTTTTGTTAACCCACATGTGATTGTGTGAAAACGGAGCGTGCTTTCGTGTCTGCAGTGCCGAGGCTTCTGGAAGCTTGCCTTGGCTTCTCCAGGGCACAGAAACACCAGCTGCAGATGCTCACTGGCAAAGCGGGCGTGTGTGCACACGTGTGGGCCTGTGTGTGCACGCCGTGCCTGGGCCGTGGGAAAGAAGCAGGGGGCCACGGCGAGCTGGGCCTCTCTCCCCGTGGGGGCCGCCTGGGTGCCGCCAGCTGCTCAGAGCAGCCGTGTGAGCCTGGTGTGGCTGGAGGACACCCGGGGATCGGATGCGGCTCCAGCATCCCGCTGTGGCCGGCGCACCCCCAGCGGGACAGGAGGGCTCAGCGCACGGCACTCACCCAGGAAGCAGTGGCAGGAGGCCTATGCTGTTTGTTATTCTTCCCGGGTGTGACCATCCACGTGTGCCTCAGTCCCAGGCGTCCAGACCTCAGCAGCCCCTTGGGGACAGGATCCTAGCGAATGGCCCCGGCCAGTCATTGCAGCCCAATTCTCTGGTTCTGCAGTGCGATTTTCTTTCTTCCTGGGTGACGGCTCTTGCACAACAGGGGACTCACTCTGCCTTTCCTTTCTGCTCCCCCGGCCTCCTCGTCACGCGCTCGTGATGGAAGGAATTGGCCTGGCCATTCCACACTTGTTGTTCCGTGTGCTTTTTTTGCTGAACTCCAGGGAGTGTCACTATTTGGCCATATGTGGATTAATCATACAAAAAAACGTATTGGTAGCTGAATGGACTCTATGAGCTCTTTCTTTTAATCCGGTTAGCATTTATGACGCCCCAGCATCTATAAAATCACCAGCAGGGGGAAATGGCTGGCAGGCCAGTCCTCCGGTGAGAGAACCACTTCGTCTCTTCCGCAAACCGGGACCTGGGAATTAGGCACACGCGTAGACAGCATTTGTGTTCAGATATACTCTGCCATCTGCCAGCAGTCGGTTTTTAACAGATACATAGTTGGTGGTGGGTATCGACAGAGAAAGACCCCCAAGCGAAAAGCCTACGTAGGAGAGAAAACACAGAAGACGTGATTTACGCCAGGAAAGTTTGCCTGAAGTTTTCGCATGCCAAACGACCGTCAGGGTTCGGACGGAAGCCGGCCTAGGACTCCTGGGTTACGGTGCTGGGCTAACCCAGGAGTGGATATATACCAGGAGCTTAGATTCCTTGCCGCGTTAGACGCACTACTTCTTACTGGCGAGGTCACTAGCATTTTTGTCATTGTCACTGTTATTGTCGTGACATTTACAAGAGCATACGTTTGCCCCAGAAACCCTTTGGTCTTGTGCTCCAAGGCTGTATTTGAAGTGGAGAGGCAACACGTCTGGGGTTTTGTCAAATCAGTACTTTGGAATGTGTGTGGGAAGCGGATAATTTCTGAGGGCCCAGGAGAATTCCAAGCTCTCCCCGCTTGAGGATACGTTGCAGTTGTAGGTGATCTCAAGGGCATCCTAAATCACAGGGCAGGAGTCCAGGCTGCCCCCTGCTATTTGCAGGTGCTGCGCTCCGGTGCCGACCTGAAGTCTCCCGGGACAGAGGGGACAGAACAATCAGCAGAGCTCGCAGATCACAGTGTTGGCCTGGCCCTGAGCCCTCTTGTCTCTGTCTCCTGAGCTTTGGGCTCCTGAGTCCTGTAGGGCATGTGGATTGATTAGTGTATGTGTTGGGTACGTTTCTGGAACTTCTGGTGTGTGTGTGTGTGTGTGTGTGTGTGTGTGTGTGTGTTCGTGCCCCTGACCCTTTGTGGGTCTGTGGGTGTCACCCGGTGCAGGTGTAGGCTTGTGGGGCCAGCTCCTTCCTTCCTCAGTCCCTCTACCCTTCTGCAGTAGCTTCCGAGGGCTGTCCTACCAAAGGACCACAGGCTACGTGTCTCAAATGACAGAAACCGGCTCCCAGTTCTGGAGTCAGATGTCCCAAATCAGGGTGTCTGCGGGGGCGGGGGGTGGGGTGGGGTTGTTCCTTTGGGGGTCTCTGAAGGAGAGAGTGTCCCGGGCTTCTCTCCCAGCCGCTGGTGGCGCCCGGCAGCCCGCGGACTTCCTAGGCTTGTGGCCGCGTCTC